AAAAAAAAAAAAAAAAAAAAAATCAACTTTTAGTTAGATATTCAGGACTCCAGAACCAGTTTTCTTTAAGTGAAAAAAATATGTAACAGCCAGGGAAGGTGTATTCCAGGAAATACAAGTACTTGTACAACACCATGTTTGAAAGTAAAATGTGAACTACATCCTCCAACTACTTACCTTATGCAGCTCTAAAGCAACGCCAGCAGCCATTTTACCTCCGTAAGATTCAGAAAATATGTAGAATGGGATGGTCTGAAGAGAGAGAATCCACACAATGAACCCGTTGGACAGAGGGCAGAAGGGATCTCCAACTGTGTCCCACAGAACCCAGGCACTGGCTCTTCACCTCTCACTATCAAACACTGGGTATTTTTCTGATTCCAAGCTGCAGATAAGATTCCCTTAACATCCCGGTGTAATTACCGGGGGAAATTTTGAAGCAGGCACTTCAGTATTTTGGAACTAGAAACAGACGTGATCCTACATGCTTCTGGGATCGCACGATAGACAATAATCCACCCCGCTGCTTATCTAACTAGTGCCAAATTCAAGATACCACTTCTGAATTGTGGGAAGTAAGAGGCAGTGGTTATACTTGCACTGACTCCCACCAAATGCATGCTACCTAGTAGCAAACACTGCCCATCTGGGAGGCTGTTCACTAACACATTTTGAGATCTGTTTAAAAGCAAAGAAAATGATGATTCTAAGCAAGAATTCAAATCACTTACCTGGAATTCTGTTCTAAATGCAAAAAAATCTCCAAGAAAAACCATCATATCAGAAACTACTGTGGTAAGGTTTTTGGCAAACAAGCTACAATCATCCACATAACTGAATCCAGTGCCCACAGGATTATCCACGAACAAGATACTGGCTGCCTGCAACTGTACAAACAGAAAGAAGGTTTGTATGAAACCTTCAGCACCAGTGCAAACCTTAGTTTTGATGGCACTAACGTCAACTGAGCCACCAAATCTCTGGCCCTGGAAGAGACTGCAGAAAAATAAGGTGCAAGTCCAAACCAGAGAATGGTACAGGTGACACTTGTCGGTCAGAATGTAAAATAAGAGGGATTTTTTTTGTGTTGCTGGGCTTTTGTGAAACTGCTATAGCAAATGCCATAGTTGTATAGTTACAAGTGTACAAATAAAATCAATAGATCAGCTCACAGATAGCTAGCAAGGCCCAAAGCAATAAGGCTCACAAATAAAGAGGTACAACATAAGATCTTTCAATTTGCCCAATCTGAAACAAGAAAGGCACCCAAAAAATCCCAGTGATCCAAGGGCAGATCACCCATATGATCTAGGGAACTCCAGAGTAGTCAGAGTATTGGTAGCTCAGAGCACAAATACATTTCATTGAATAAATTTCCACCTTCACAGGCAACTGTAATTTGTTTTCCCTTAAAGGCCATACTAGGCTTATAATTACAAACCATTGGTTATACGTTGCCAGCCATCCAGAAAAACCTCTATGACTTTACACAATGAAGCTATGATCTGAAATAACATCCTTCTAGAATTTCCCTGCTCTCAGTTTCCCAGACACCTGCAATTCACAAATTCATAAAAGCCCCGACACATTCCATCAAATCAAATTAATAGGTCTATTCTTCAGTTCTTAACAAGGATATTCATATAAGCTATTTCATTAACCACACTATTTTAAGACGAAATATCAGAGTTCTATTGAATTTTAAATGAAAACTGTTCTGTGATGATAGCAACTATCTGCTTACACACAAGCAACAAACATTTTGCAATCAATAACTAGAAGCTGGACTCTCTACTGTACCCAGGTTGTATTTCTTGGTTTCATTTCTTTGTCTAATGGGCCAATTTCTTCAAAGTTCCCAAATCCACAGCCTGAAGCTCCTGGACCTCCCTGTGGGGAAATACCGAATGACAAATAAGTTAAAAGGCAGCATGGTATAGATATGACTGATAGGAGAAAAATAAAAGCAAGTCAGTAAGTAGAATGACAGACTATAAAATTAAAAAAAAAAAAACGGCTTTTGCACTGCATGTTAATTTGCAAAGGCGGCTTTCTTTCTAATCATCTTTCACTATGTGTACTCGTGCCATTTCTGAAAGCAAGAATTTAAACAGAGAAGCAATTACCCACTTGTGAAAGTATCTAATGAGTTGCATGCTGTGTGAGTGCAGTTTGAAAACCCTTCCCCTTATTCCCTTAATACAAATGCAAAAGTCAGCTATCTACAGAGGATGCAAGTCATTAGTTTTACCAGCATGTACAGAGTGTGCATTTCACTCTGAAGAAAAAACCCAGAAGGAAAAAGACGAAGTCACACACCACTGCCTTTTATGAAACTGCGACTGAGTGGGACCAATCTCTAAACAATCAGTCTCTCTCTTACTTGTTTCCATTTAGAAGTCTTTCCAAATCTCTGATCATTTTATCTAGTCTCTCTCTGAACACTGTTTAGACTGTAAGCTCTTCAGGAAAGGAGCTGTGACGCTACAATGTACTTGTAGCGTCTGGCACAAAAAGCACTACTGTTGTATGAAAGAACAGCCTCTACCTCTGCAATTTAACTTGATGGAAGGTGAGCAGTTGAGGGCACCCCACAACTCCAGAATGATATTTTCATTATTTCTTCCTAACCTAAATACCTCACTCACAAGGTGAATTATTTAGAATCAGACAATTTTGAATCCTATTTCTGTAGAGCTGCAAGATACCCATCAGACTGATCCAGGCACAGATGGAAAGAATTGTCATTTAAGTGTCTTTCACCAAACCTTACCTGCAGCCACAAGATGAGAGGTAATTCCGTGAAGTCTTTGGTTGGGTTATCTGCATAGTAGAGCCACCAGAACATGTGGGCCTTACTTCGAACTTGTACATATCCCCACAGCTCTTTGGGCTCTGGAGATTGCCTCAGAACTACACCTGCGGGGAAGTAAAAATAAAAATCAGCTAGGTAAAAGGCTTCGAGCTTCCCACCAGATTTGTTCCAAAACATTACATTTCAATCTTGGGTGTGATAATTAGAAGTGCTTCCATTAAAAAAAATTACTATAAGAAACCTGTCTATACTTACACCCACGCATATAGCTGAGTTATCATCAATGAATGAAGTTAAGTGTGTAATTAAGCACCTACTTATCAGGGCCTGACGTTACAGCGGCTGCCAAAATAGCAGCCCAATAGCTAGGATATTTTTTTCTATCAGGGAAACATTTAAAGTCTTTTGAAGGCCTGGGCGGAAAGCAGAGCCCCACTAGACACGATGGATAACTCGCACCAGCTTCAGGGCCACCGGGGCTCTTTCAGGGATCCAACACTTTGATCTTAGTCTCTGGGAAGATCAAATAATTTTACAGTCCCCAAGGAGCATAAAGGCAGGATAGACACAAGGGCCACTTCTAAACAAACCCAAGATCTAACCCTAAACTCAATTAAGTCAGTAGAGTCTCGTCAACTTAAGCAGTCAGTCTATTCTCCGTCTAGGACACAGGCGCTTTCCCAGAAATAGACCTTTGAAGCGACACCCCTTAATCTTCTCGATCACGACAGAAGGCAGCAGCCCACTGGAGAAGCAGCAACAAGGCTTTTCCAAGCCACAGCGCCCAGTCTTTGCTGATCCGCAGGGCACAGCGCTGAATAACATCACACTTTCTCCATCAGCCCTCACTGCAACAGCGGTGACACCCCGATAGGGCTGCTTTGCTCCCCGCAGCCCCCCTACCCCGAGGGCCTCGCCGGTAAAACCACCCAGGAGCACAGGGCTGCGCCCCGTCAGCCAGGATCGGGCAGCCCCGCAACAACCCCGTGCTTGCGGGCGGGCCGGCTTTCGGGGCCGCCCCCTCGGCCCCCCCGGCCGGCCCGGGGGGGGGG